TATTATTATTATTATTATCATTATTATTATTATTGTTGTTGTTGTTGTTGTTAAGGTTTTCAATCCTTCTATGGACATTGAAGTGGTGTTTCAAGTACATCATAAGTCTCTTTAATTGAAACATCACCAATTTTGTCATATTTTGGTGATTATGGATTAGACTACTAGTTCTTAATGTTTTTTAGTCTTCAATCCTTCTATGGACATTAAAGCTAAACACCATAACTAAATATTACTCTATGAAAAATATCCATAAATGGATAACTTTAGATCCCAATGTTATCTACAGGACTGCAGTTGTCAGTATAGGGGTTCTGGCCCATTAAAACTGCATTTTAAAGTATTTAGAAGTAGAATTCTACTTTAATTTGTGCCACATTGTTCACTTTTCAACGCTTCAAAACAAAGCAAAGCGTCAGTAAATCTAATTAGGAGGACAATAACAAGGTTGTAGTAGGATGTTAAACAGACACGTTGTTGCTTGGTAAACACTCCAAGGTAAAAAAAAAAACGACACATGCCCATGGCCCGGGGTTCCCTCCACATGCTGCCTTCAGAAGTAATGAGGACAGAATCTAGACCATGTGAGTAAAGTGTGCGGGTGCTCGGGGGATTCTCTGTGCTGCAGATGGTTTTGCTCGGCTTCAACCCTGATTGTACAGGCAGGAAAAACCTCTGAGCTGACAGCTAAGGGACAGGAGGCTTATAGCTTGTACGTTATACAGGTACCCACAGAGGCAGTATGTACCGCTTCCACAGAAATGTCTCACAAAATCTTCTTATTGGTTCCCAGTCATAATCAACTTGTGAAAATTTAGAAATATTCAAATGTACCAAGGAGCACTACAATAAATTCCAGCTCAAATTATTTCTTTTTTTTTGATTTCCTGGACGATGAACGTTCATCCTGCTATCCATTCTCTTCCACTTATCCAGCTCAGGGTCAGAGACTAGTGTGCAGCTCGGTGCCCTAACAGAGATACATTACACAAAAAAAGGCACCGGGCAAACGTTCAAACATTGTTTTATCTTAAATAACAGTTTTACAAATTGGCGAAACAAGAGTTAGAGGCTTTTTCAGTGAAAGTTTTAATCCTCCTTAACAGTCCATAACAGTTAGGATCTAAATTAAATAAAAATATTTAAGTTATTATATATTATGTGTCATACACATGCTAATACTGGATCATGAGGAAGGATTTATTTGTGTGTATAAAATTTTAATTTTGCACTTGGTATGATTTATGTTAATTTGAAGGGCCACCTGAGTATAGCAAATTATGTAAGTTAATTAAGTGTTATTCTTTTATCTTTTATTTCTCGAGTCAACAAAAGAATCAGACGTTTAAAAATTTTGGGAGCAGTAAACGTCTTAGCCTCATATGCCACAGGAGATTTTGAGACTTGAAAGTCGGCCTTTGAACTTGCAAGTCTGGAAATGGCTGATCTATATTAATACAGCATCATATTTAAGCAGAATTATGTTTCAAATTTTGCTAAATAAGAAATCACAAACACTTGTTTTGAAGGCATCAGCAATTCCTCTTTTGATTCGTGATGACGTTCCTCCATGACAGCAGTTGGCACCCCACGTCACGTCCTGTGGAAAAGGCAGCCATGTTTGGTGGTGCTGAAGCATCTCTGCTTTTCTCATTAAACGGTCTGCAAACTGTAACGATGCTGAGCAGCAGACAGCAGGTGGTGGAGAAGCTGTAGGGAGTTTTAATTTGAATATCTTCACAGCTCCCACATGTTGGCGAAGACATTGAAGTAGCTTCTCAATCTGGATCTGTTCAAGAACGATCAATGTGAAACATGTTTCAGGAAGTCTGCAGAGCTGCTGGGACATGTGATGTTTGGTTTGCACAGCTGTGTTTGCCTGGTGTTGCTGGTATTCATGACAGTTGCTGAGGGAAGAGTTTAGACAAAAAATTAAGTGCTTTAAACATATTTAAGCTCATCTCCAGAAACGCTCTGGGTAAAATTACTTAATTTTCTGCCAAGTAGCAGAGTTAACAATAGACCTGCAATCACGAAGTGTGATTCATCTTGTATCAGGGGGAGTTTTTAATCATCAACTGTTGTTTCCAAATGTCTACCACCGCCTTTCAAACATGCCCAGCAGTCTAAATTCGACCCTGCTTTAAGCAATATTTTTGCCAAGCTGTTCTCTGAGCGAGTGAGCTGTTATTGTCCTGTCATCTCCTCCTCGGGTTCAGCTAGGAGACTGCCATCATGTTTCGTTGTAAACTTGAATTTTGCTGCTGTAACACATTTTATTCACATCACTTTTCATGAGAACGTCCATCCTGTCTTAGATTTGTGTTGACTGTTGGACACCTTTTAACCATTCCTTAAAAAAGCCTGAGAGCATGAATGTATTGTTTGTTTAATACGTCAGATTCATATCTGATTGTTCTTTGTCTTCATCAGTGATCTTTATGCAAAATTCAAATTTATTCACAAGTGGCATTCCTCTAATGTCCAATTGAGGCTCCAAAAATGAGCGTCTGTCTCACTTGCAGCACAATGACCCAAATATGTGTGTATGATGACGGGAGGCTTTAATTTCTGATCTTAAGGAAACTGAACAGCTGTGGAAAAAGCTGAAAGTCCACAAACCTGAGAACATTGGTGGGACTTCTCAGTCTGCTGACCCATGAGAAATCAGAAGGTTACCCCTGAAATTAATTAATACCAAGCAAGAATTCAGTTTATTCTCTGTATTTTAATTGTAGAAAGACCTTTTCTCTCAACAAAAATTCATTTGAAGTCATCGCTTAAGGGACAACACATGGGTCTGAAAAGTAAACCCAACATGGAAGTACCAAAAGCTGCAGTTCCTTTAACGTCCAGCAGGGGCGCCAGCAGTTGGTCAGTACCCATAGACTCCCATATTAACACTTTACAACAGAAATAAACATGTTTACAGCCTGATACAATCACTGAATTGGCCTTTATACTGTATTCACCCTTTAGTTTGTAACTCATCTTTTTAAATTGTATTAAGGTTTAAGGTTTGCATTGCTGGGGTGAGGCCTCTTTGACTGACAGGTGGATAGTAACACAGGTGTCTATAGCTGCTAGCTGTTTGCTAGGCTTCGCTTCCGCTAACTGGTCTCCCTGAACTGGACCTCTGTTTGTACTGTTGGAGCCGTTTGGAGCCTTTTAATGATGTTATCCGACCAATAACATGGCTGCTGTGTGATTACTGTACTAACAGACTGTCTAAAGAAGCTACTTAATGTAGTCTGCCAACAAAGCCAGCTCACGTTGGCTAATAACATATCCAAAGATGGTACTTCTGGTTCTAGAAACAAGATTATACATATAGCACCTTAGTGTGCCACCACATTTCAAAATTGAGTTGAACCATCTGATGCATACTGTCTGTCTGATGCTCTTCAGAAACCTGTGAAGAAAAACAAGCTTTCGTCTTCTGGTGTCCTGTGTGAGACACCCGTGACCCTAACACACTTTCTTTCTAGCACAGGATGTCTGGTTCCCACGGGCACTTCTCTGGA